AGAGAGAGAGAGAGAGAGAGAGAGAGAGAGAGAGAGAGAGAGAGAGAGAGAGAGAGAGAGAGAGCTCTTTAGAGTGAAACCTTTTAGAGAGAGAGAGTGAGGACCTTTTAAAGAGAGAGAGAGTGAGGACCTTTTAGAGAGAAAGAGAGAGGGAGAGAGATAGCTTTTAGAGATAGAGAGTGAGGGCCTTTAGGAGAGAAAGAGAGAGAGGGCGAGAGCTTCGGAAGATATTGAGAGAAAGAGAAAGGACCTTTTCGGGGAAAAAAAAGAGAACCTTTTAAAACGAGAGAGTGAGGACCTTTGAGAGAGACAGAGATAAAGCCTCAGAGAGAGAGAGAGAGAGAGAGAGAGAGAGAGAGAGAGAGAGAGAGAGAGAGAGAGTACCTCGTGAGACTGGCGGATGCAGTCTTTGCCTGGCGGAGGCCGGTTGTTACAGGCGCGGCCCGGCGGAGGGCGGTGGAGGGCGTCGGAGGGCGTCGGAGGGCGGCGGAGTGCAGCGGAGGGCGGCGGAGGTCGGCGGACGCTGGCAGCGGAGGCTGGCGCAGGCTGGCGGCGGAGTCAAGCAGGAAGTCGCGGTCAAGCACGAAGTCGCAGACGACGGCGGGCAGAACTCGGGTTGATGAGACGCTAGACTCTCACAAATGACACTGCCATCAACCGACGTGTCTAATGCAAGAGTTTTGCTGTTCTCGATTTCCATCGTTTCCTTCGTCGGGCCCACGCGATTAACGAGAAAGAAAAAGGGTACCGGCCTCTTTTGGATGGTGTCGACCGTGGATTCGCCGGTACCGGCCTCCGTTTTTTTGTTTTGGTACCTTAATCTTTCAGGGTTGGTACCGGCCCTCGTTCTGGGCTCTTTTTTTCTTGGCACCGGCCTCTTCTTTTTGGGAACGGCCTCTTCCTCCGACGATTTCGCCGCCGATTTCGGCGAAGCACAATCTACTCCTTGTTGGTGCTTGAAACCTACCTGCACAGCGCAGCTTGCGCATCACAGCAATTCTACCTACAACACTGTTCTTGTTCTTCTTTGGATCTGGCCTGGTTTCGTTGGTGCAACACCGTTATTGTTGGAGAGGGAGCGGGGGTACGGCATTCCGGGAACGCCGTACCCCGTCCGAGGCTCGCACCCGGACGGGGCACGGCGTTCCCGGAACGCCGTACCCCCACTCCATCTCGTTTGGGAGAGGGAGCAAGGGTACGACGTTCCTGGAACATTCCTCCTCTGGCGTGCATACCCGGAGTAGGGGTACGACGTTTCCGGAACGCCGCACCCCCGCTCCCTCTCGGCCGGGAGAGAGAGAGGGGGTTCGGGGTTATCAGAACGTCGTGCGCAACAGAAGGGGGTGAGCGTCCCCTTAGGCTTCGCATCTACGCACTCGCAGGGTTGAGGCTTTTCGAACCGTGATCCGATAGAGAAAGGTTTGATATCTGAATGCCTTGCCTTCAACTGTTCGGATAGTGCTAACCGTCAGGAGGAGCATCTGGCGTACTGGAAAAGAGGGTCTATAAGACCTCCTTGATGTATAGAGATAGGGAGTGGGCCCTTGATTGGGTGGGGGGCCTGCACGAGGCGGGATGTGGGGTGGATGTGTTCCTGAAGAACGCCGCGGCCGACGACTGGTTCTGTCTTGGAGGGATCATAAAATCCGAGGATGAGAGGGCGGACGGGCACGGACGGAAGTTCAGGAGGTTCTTCCTCACGACAGTGTTTGACGAACACGGAGTGGACCCCGCTAAGGTTGACCATAAAGTCAGCCTTGACTACAATTTATTCAAGGGGTATGGAGCTAAGGTGATTACCATGCGGGCGTTCGATGTATCCCCGAAGGAAGACGGGAGCGCGTTGACGATGCTTGACCCCGTGAAATTCCTCGCTAAAACAAACGGGTACAGGCGATCCGGAAACAGTCCCATCGTACAGGCCGGGCATCGAATGTCTTCGACACTCGTGCCTTTTGACACGCCGGAGGAGGATCTCCCGGATATAGCAAAGAGAGTGAGACAGAGTTCGGCGGATTGTCTTCCAATGCAACAGACCTCAGGTGGTGGGAGCCGGCGTCGAAAAAAACAGAGTCAGCCGCGTCGTCACACTGAGGAAGGGGCGCGAGGTCCTTCTGTCGAATCGGCCCGCTTGAAGGAATGTGCAGGACCATCTCGGCAGTCCGCCCAGCAACGCGGAGGCACCCCTGTCGTCACATCCTCAAGGAAGGGATCGGCGGGTCGTTGGGCTCCTGATCGCCAGGAGGGCGATGGAGGTGCGTCCAGGAGGGCAGCCCTGCGGGAGAGGAGCGAGGGATCAGACGAAGAAACGGAGGACGATTCCAGGATTCATGTCGAGCGGAACGCGCAGGGTAATCTTGCCGTCGACGATGAGCAATGTGGGTTCCAAGAGGACGATGCCAACGAGGACATAAGCGAGCGAGAGAGAGAGGGCGAGAAGCGTGAGGACTCTCTGCCCCACTGCGAGGACGGAGAGTCTCGACAGTTTGATGGGGGCGAGTATGGGGACGGTGGGGAAAACGATGAAGACTGCCTTGCCGATGATGAGGATGGAGGGGAGGAAGGGTCCGATGATATGGAGGTCGATGAGGGTGCAGGAGATCGGTCGGAGGGCAACGCGCAGGAAAGGAAGCGGCGATCTTCAACAAGTCCGACGAGGGCGGCAGATAAACGCGCTGCTAAGAGACTCACAGTCGCTGTATCTCGAGAGGCACTAAGAACTTCTCAAGAGGCGGCCACAGATAGCGTGAAGAACAGAAAAGGGAAGGCATCAACCAGAGCGACAAAAGCGGAGAAACGTCTGATGAAAAGAAAGCAGATGGTCGACGAGGGTGACTCCGGAGAAGACGCCGAAGGGGTTGCTCCTAGGGCTCCGTCCGAACAGACAGAGCGTTCCTCTAACAATCGATCTGTCACAGTGGACAAAACAAAGTGCTTCTTCTTCGAGTTCGATAAAGATGGCTACGCGAGGAAGGATCGGGTACACATTCAAGTGGATGTAACGAAGATCTTGCCAATTCCGGAAGGTGACATCCTCTACAACCACAGAACGTTGGACGAAACRTTGGTGCAGTCCATATACGATGCGATCCATAATGCGGCCAAGGAAACCAACGGCAAGTGGGATTTCATGACTTTCATCTTGGCCCCCTATGTGCCCAGCCGGGACGGCTCTCAAGGTAGACAGATCACACCACAGGAATTCGACGTCGAGGAGGCGCATACGTACCACTGGTATGCTGTTGCCGGCCAGCACACGGCTGAAGCTATGAACAGACTCATAGTGGACAAGTCACCGGTCGAGAAAAGATACGGCTTGAGGTCATATTCTCACGTGCGTGTTGTCTACTTTGACGACAACACAAAGAGAGGATATCCGTATGTCTCAGCATTCGACAACACAAGGGAAGGATGTTCTATCCCGCGATCGTTTTCGTCGGAGGTGCGGCAAATCAGAACTTATTGGGAGAAGAGGTGTGGCCGCATCCGTCCTCCAGGCACCGTGTCCCCGAATGACGTGGAAGGATTGAAACAAAAAAAGAAGTGGGAAGAGTTCATGAATGCCGCCTGCAAAATGACACCGGATTCCAGTCTCGTGACGTCGTCCTTGAAGAACGAGTATTGCAAGGACTGGACGAACAAGATGCGGGGATACATGAATCTTGCGCAGTGCGGCGAAACGGTGTGGCCATTGGTGGATAGATTTTTAAAAATGTACGAGGAAGGGCAGCTGCCAAGAGTTGACAGTGTGAAATACATCGAACTGTCGGGGAAAGTGGAAGGGAGGCTGCTGGGGCAGTACTTTGTCAAGGACAACCCCGGGAAAAAAATCTTGTTCCACTGCATCAAGGCCAAAAAGGGGCCTCCACGCGCAACGGTATCTATACCGGACTTGACGCCCTCCATCTTCAAGCTGTTTGGGGATATGATAGCGAGAGAGAAGCAAGTGGCGCTACACCACATAATGCGTGCTGATGTTATCGTTACATCACGTATGGTGCCGCGTGGAGGGTGCAACATGGCGGACCTAGTACAATATACTCGGCGAGAGAGATATATGGTCCGCATGTTCAACTACATATTGTTCAAGGTCGAGGAGAGGTCAAAGGATGACTGGAACGCAGACTTCTTCATCGGTTATACGGCAATCATGGAGAGGTATAGCAAAAACGGCCTCACCGACTTGAAATGGATCGAGGAACGCGACCGCATCCCTGACGACAAGGCGAGGAAAGTGCCGAGGCGTTTGGGCGGTCCTGATAAGATAAATGGCGAGAACGGTGCGGGGCTGGAGGCAACCCAAGCCATGTACAAGGAAACCCCGTTCCACCTCAAGTGTTTCATCTATGAGGCGATCGATCGCTTGGACGAACTCAGGGCTGAGGTAAATCGGATGTCCTGCAATGCTCGTCACATCTTTTGGGAAGTTGGGAAAAGGATCACAACGATCATGTCATATGAAATCGAACCGAAGGGAGTGCTCACTGATAACGAGGAGGTTGTCGGTACGGCGAGGGGAATGAGGATACGAGCAGCCATTCTTGATATGTCAACATCACCCAAGCGTATTCCGTGGGATAATGGCACTTTTTCCAGACTGCACGATTTCCTCAGGACGTGTTGTGGCGAAAACTGGGCATTAATCATTTATGCGCCGATGAAGCACCAGAGACAGGTGATGCAGAGTGTGTACAAGTGGGACGATGTCGAGGTGCTCACCGGGTCTTGGTACAGATACTACACACCGTCCACGACCGTGAACAGGTACGGCAACATTGCGGTTCGGTACATTGACATGATGGCTATTGTCCTCCACGCCGAGAACCGCAACTTGAGCAATATAACGATTGCGCCGAAATTGCGAGCGGAGCTCACAAATTTGAACATTGAAGAGGGTGAATTTGTGAGGTGCTCAGGGGAGTGTATCGGTGTGGAGGGCGACACTGAAGCGGTTTATTCTTGGATGGAACGAGAGCCTGCACGTCTCTGGAAGCTATGCAGCTCGTTCATCAGGGAGGATGACGGCGTGATGCTGCTGGGCAGGGCGCATGCGGGATTGATATGGGAACCGGCTAAGGTCGGACACCACTTGTTTGCATGCGACGACACGACAAAGGAGCTCACCTACCTTTCCAAGTTCTTGGAATTCAACGTGAAGGACCCGAGGAACAAATGCAAGTTCGAAAAGCCCCAAGTCGAGCACCGCAAGGACTGGGACATATACTACACGCTCGGTAGGAAAAGGGATAAAGTGTGGGCTTACTTGTTCGGTGACGCTCCACAGTCGGCATTTGATAATGACTACGTTCTCAGGAAAAGCAAAATCGAGATGGCAATGAACGAGTACCACGACTCCCACATGGGTGTTTTCCACATGTTCGTCGCACGTTGCGAGCATCTCTATTTCAATATGAAGAAAAGAGCACTGAACAGCCGGGACTATGCAGACTTAGCACGTAAAGCGGGCAACTTCAACAACATCGATTGCGACGAAGACACATCAGACTCCGACCTGGACATCCCATCGCGCGCAGCACGAGGTGAGGTGGGGGGAGCGCCTGGAGTAGAGCCGCAGGGGAGCACCAATGGACCTGCGGAGAGGCCGAGCTCGAGCATGGGAGCAACACATGCAAATGAGGGGAATGCGGAAACAAGAAACACCGGAAGTGGGAAAAGGAATGGTGTAGCGATAAACCCGGTGGGTGCAGGTGAGGGGACAGTTAACTCACAGGGCAACAAAGGGGGGGGAGAGAATGGGTGCCCAATGGGCCCGCCGACAACCGGACCATCATCGACACGTGGAACGCAGGCGGAGCAAAGAATATTCATGTCCATGGACACCGATGACAATGAAGAGTTGGACATGACAGCGATCAAGCCGAAGCTCGTGCCAGGAAGACCGTTGCCTCAAGGATTTGCCCCGAAATCGTCGGTGCCATACTTGCTGCAGGACAAGTACAAAGAGTCATCGGAGGACAATTGGGGTCATCATATCCTTTGGCATGAGGGTGTGTTCGAACCGTGCGTGTTCGCAGGGACATGGCAGATGGCTGTGAAGACAAGAGACCGAGGCTGGGTCGCAAAGGAGAAAAAGGACACTGCGATATGGCACAACGTGATGGAGACGCAAATTCATCGACGAGTTTTGAAAGAAAACGACGGTTGGAGCGAGGAGGCTATAGCAGCGAAGGCGAAAGCTTTGTTCGAGCATCTGCGCGCGAACAAACAACTAAAATTCAGCACAAAGTTTTACGACCTCCCATCAAGTGTGTCGTACGGCTCCATCGATTGGAAAATCGACCTGCCTCCTGCAGCGCAAGGAATCGATAGCGTCACCTCTCTAAGGGCTGAAGACGTTATCGCATCTAACACCATTGTTGCGATCGCCCGAGGGGACGCTGCCTGCGAAACGGACACACGTGCGAACGCAGGCCAAGTGCAGAATAAACAGCAGCAAGCATGTGGTCAACAGCACTCCACGAAGCGCAATGGGGGATACGACAATGATACTTAAGGACGGCGACGACAATGTGATGGAGTCCGACGCATTGATAGAGCAGCCAACAGAGGGGGCCAACGAAGGGACAACAAACGTTGGTTCTTTCCGGTCTCTCGTGGTGACAATGGCAGCGCTGAAGGGCATATCTGAGATGATGGAAACCGAAGCTGGCCATAACGATGAAAGTAATGCGGTGAAGGTGCCACAAGAGGAGGTGGCAGCAACAACAGAGCAAGCGGCGAAAGGTGAGGGTTCCCGCGAACACATTTCTGTAATAAATATGAGATCGGAGAGTACAGGCGAGGAGATGATCCAAGACCATCCGGCAAGAGTTGAGGGTGACCACGAAAAGGAAGCCCAACCACTGAGACGGTCAACGAGACCTGTGATTAAAAAAGTAGTGAAGGACGCGTAGACATTACTTAGATTGAAATGGGCGTGTGCACAGGTGAGCTGATATTGATGTGTTGTCGCAATTAAGTAGGTTAAAAAAAGGTGTGAGAACGGAATGGGTGTGTACACGTTACAAGTTTAACTGTTGTGTTGTTGCAAATGTTATCGTAACAGTGCAGTTTTAGAAATTGCACAACCGATCATATAGGGTGGCATATATCGATACATATTAGAGGTGTGTGTGTGTGTGTGTGTGTGTGTGTGTGTGAGTGAGTGCTTGTGTGTGTGTGTGTGTGTGT